GACACTTTTTAGCGCGGACCCGACGTCCATATAATTGTAAGTCAATGTTTACAGTAGAGCAGTTTGAAGTTATATTTTGACTTAGAATAATAAGTTTTAATAGTGTCGTGAAAGTGACACCCGATTATGATAGCTAATTTTATGTGCTTTTCTTAGGCCTTTGCACGATTTAAAAATTTTATGTATTTTTCTACATATTTCACATTCAATAGTTTACCTTGTAAAATTTGCTAGAAATGAATCGAAGTAGACTCGTTAGTATTCAGGGCTTGTAAAGAACAAATATTGAATCTATTCGATAATTTTCATTGACAGCTTTTATAGAATCAATAAAAGTTAACTACCGAAAGTGTTACTTTCGATTATTTATGTGGTAGATCAAACTATTAGGCTACTAAACGCTGTGGAAATCATTTATCAGACCATCACATGTCTTGTCACGTTCTGTAGACCAAGCGGAAAAGTCATCGTCGTAAATATCATTTAGAAATTTGAATTCTTCTTCAGTATAATTGTTGTCACGCACAGGAGATTCTAAAAGACATATTTTGTAGTAACATGCTTTAATTACAAAATCAGAATAAATCGTGTATATTTATTTTTTCAAACAAAGGTTTCAGGCTCTTTACAGTTCCCATGTTCACGGCTGACTGAGATGGTAAAGTCGTCAACCAGTTATGTCTAATATTAACTCAAACTACACTCAAACTTAAACATTTAAAAAATCGAAATTGCCAATTTGCGAAGTATCTAGCGTAGAACAACGTTGTAACTGGTACACTCGATAGATGTTTTCCATAGAAAACCATGGAAGTGGTACATTCGCTAGCTCTAAGACTAGAAATAAACACGTATACTGTCGAAAGTGTCAGTTACAACTTTGTCGAAATTACATACATCTAGAACACTATCGAATCTCCCCCTTTCGATATTTTTTCTTGTCTGATCAGCCATCTAATTACTTGAATGAGAAAAAACGACACAAAGAACTAATTATTTTAAAAATATTTAGAGATATTTTAGATAATTTATTTTTGATATTATGAAGGGATGTAACAAAATTGTAAATATTTACCGAGTTAATTAGATTTTTTTTTTGTTAGACGTGGTTTCACCATGATGTTGTTTATATTTTATAACGAAATTAACCACACACTACCTCGGCTATTCAGTTTTAAACTCCGATTTAAAAGTACAAAAACCAAAAGAAAAAATAACTAACTAAAAGAAGCTAAAAGTAAACGCAAGAGACATGCCCTCACTCTTTTACATCGCATCGCGGCGAATACTAACGATTCGGTCAGTTACAAACTGTGTGCGGTGTGCGCACACCGTCGCTTTAGAACAGTATCGACTGTACCTTATTCGATAATGTTTGTCGCTCATAGTGTGAAGTACCGATAGTATTCAATTTAAAACTTCCTTTAATATGATTTTTTTACCAAACTATATATTTTTCTAATAATATGTGTATATCATATTCTCTTACAATTGATGCAATAAAAAGAAATTTAGATTTTGCAGTTTCGATACTGTTTGTTGCGGCAGTCGATATATTTCAAAGATATTTCATATGAATAGAATCTTGTAACAACAGGAACTTTCCAAAGATGTTACTGCTTTCTATTACAATAAAAACATAACTTCTGAACTTATACTCAAGGCGCGGCAATTTTTTAACGGGGAGAATTTTCTACCGTAAAGATATAACGATATCCCGCGAAAAGTATCAGAAAATTAAACTATTGAATAAAAATTATTATAATTATATTATATTACTACTAAGTTACATCTGGCAGTACGGTCAATTAGACGCCTCAGTCTGTTCCCTAAGCCTGTTCCTAATGACAAATAAATTTATAGTAGGTACTATTTTTAGTGGGGACTTATTAGTGTTATTTGTTTCTTTTTTTGGAAAGATTTAGGTCCCAATTAAATTTTCCTTCTCTGTCACTTCTCTAATTTGCATTCAAGCTACGCGCTTACATAAGCCATAGTACTAAGCAGCAAATTACACAATTAATTCATTTGAGAGTTGTGGTGTACTTCGCACTTAATACACGCCTTAAAGTTTTATTCTTAGTCGTACCCATTCCCATGTGCATTGTCAGAGATACACTCAGCGGTAGGCACTTATCGTGTAAGCTCGACCGGGTGATGAAGCCCTGACTGTACTTACAATTTGCTGTAGGAAATGTCAAATTTAATTTCTAAAAAACTAAAAAAATCATGACACATAATATAATATAAGTATAAGATTGCATCAATTTCGGTTTCTTAATGATAAAATCCGACCAAGCATGACGTACGTACATAGTCATACACGGGTACACGACCATAATGGGGTTCTATAACTATCAGGTAGCGTAATTCAGCTTGTAACATTCTGTTTGAACTCCATTAAAAAAGTTCATAGCCACATTAACTTGCCAAAATTTTATGAGCTCCTTGTATTAAAGTGTTATTTAAAACGTATGTTGGTTAATTTGTGTGTTTCAAACACAAATTAAAAGAGCACTTCCTGTCGAACCACAGACATATTATATGTCTGTGTGTCCAACGCAATAGTTAGTTAATCGGTAACATGTATATAAACTAGTAATTTGTTATTGTAATGTATATATTCTGCTTATGTATGTATTTATGTATATACAGTTCATGTATATTACCATCATTTATATATTTTTAGGCACATTTAAATTTTAATTTAATTGTAATAATTAGTCCCGCAGACTTCACTTTACACCACGGCTAGGGTTGACTGGAAGAGAACTCTTCTAGAGATAAATATGTCCTTTGTAACGTGTGTTTTATGTGTCTTTTCTTTGTGCAATAAATATATATATATATATAATTCTTATAACTTTCCAGGCATTGGCACATAAAGATTTCTTTTGTCTTTGAAAAATATCGGTTACGCTGATTTCGCGTAACAATTTTGTCTTAAAAACTGACACGAGTTCATAATGAACCCTATAATGAACATTTCACACATGAACAGTTCATAATGAACGCGCGTTTGTTGCGCGTTTCAGTGTGACAGGCGCTTCGGCGCCCGCCTCTGTGTGGTGTGAGCTTTATTCTTATATAACTGACACCGGCAATTTCAATTCCACTATAATAATGTCGATTATGTTAGTTATGATCACGAGTGCAGATACATTATGTGCTTTTCATAAATTGCAATGTATTTTCGAAATAATACACACCATTTTGTTATCAAGGCTATTTATTTCTGTACAAAAATAATTGGTATTTTGTCAATATTTAATCTTCAGTCATCGGTGTTAAATGTAGTAGATACTATTGTAACTCGTTGATTCCCAAAGTGGCCTATATCGACCCCTAAAGATTATTTCCAAGTGGTCTATGTCAGCGAGAAAAATAGACAGTACATGAGAATTTAATGGGGGTCCAATCAATCAAAATCATTTATTTGTCACAAACAACCATGTTTGTAGCAAATAAATGATTGAAAGAGAGAGATGATGATGGAAAGAGAGGAGTATAAGCACCCTGTATCTACGGTCTCTGTACATCCCCCATTAGTCTATTAAACACTATCACGACACCGATAATAGAAAGTTAAATAATCTCATAAACTTTATATTACATCTATACTTGTTGCGTCACAGACGGTATCGTCATAGTACAGCGTATTTAGCGTATTAAGGTGAGGTCAGACGTACGAAAGTCAGTGAGTTGTGAGTGGCGTTTTTTGAGTCTCGTAGTTACGTTCGAAGTTCGTTTGTCCGGGATGATTTTTTTTTTAATGCACACACTCATAGCCCCGCACTAGGGAAACCATGTATCGCGGGTGCCATGGACAAACGCAAACTACACTCAAAGTCACAGCAGAAATAAAGGCCATACAGATATTTCTCCCAGCCCGGGAATCGAACCCGACACCTCTGCGTGGCAGTCCAGAATTGTAACCGTTCGTCCACGGAGACAGCTACATATAGTGTGTGAAGATTTCTTTTTTTTAACGATATCAAGTGACGGCACGAACAAGACGTGCGCCTGACGGTAAGCTACACGTCTGTCCATAACAGTTGCAGTGCCACTCAGAGCGTAAATCGCAAAGATTTTAGGAGCACTGTTGCCAAGTCCCATGTGCCCGTAATTTCACCAGCACCCTTACCCTTCAAAACCGGAATACAGTAATGCTGACATTACTGCTTGGCGTCAGAAATAGGTAAAGTGGCAGTACTTCCCTTCACAAGGACCTCTACCGCTGCTTATTGTTACATATGTACCTAATGGATTAACTAAAATCAGTGTGCATTTGTGAAACATTAGATGACGTTAGAAAAAGAAGCTGATATGAGCTGTTAGTGGATGTAATATTAAATATGGACAGATGAAAATGTGAGCATGATATAGGAAAGTTTATGTGAACACTTAGATCAATTTGTAAATTACTACCACTTGTCAATAAACGTTTCTCTCGCCCTCATTCCCTTACCCCCATCTCCACCCGCACAAGCACGGCCTATAGTGCCACCGAAATTTGGTCTTACAACCCGGACTTTAATACGAATCTGAATGCAGTTTAAATTAAATGACTCAAAAAACGCGACTCACAACTCATAAAATTACTTTCATCTGACCTCACCCTTAGTGTTGTTTACTCTATACAATTATATAGAAAAAAAATGTCAGTATACATTATTGAACCCTCGGAATTCAATAAATTACCAGGAGCCATCAGAAATGCACCTTCCACCACACATTCTTAAAATTCTCTACGGTTTTCATTGTTGGATAATTTTTTTTAAAGCGATTTTAAAATCCAACGCGAGACGAGAACTCCCGTGTGCCAATTTTACATGATTTTGGAAAAAAATATTACATCTAAATTCTTCATTTTTTATATTTAGAAATTAAAAAAATAATAACAACTCAAAAAAAAAACTAAATATTTATTAACATGATTTTAGCAGGCACTCCACAATATGTACATATATACTGACATCGAAGTACAAAATTTAATAAAACATTAAAATTGTGGAATTTTGTTGCTAAAATTTTGTTTTTAAAAATTTTTATTGAAATTTTATAGCAACACTACTAAATTTTTTCTTTCACCAAAATTTTCTTAGAGGGTGGAACAGCATAAACAAATTTCAGGCGTTTTGTTTTAAACAAATTTAGACACGTAACACGCATATCGCAGATGTCCCACGGAATCAACCTTAGACTATTCCTTTATTTTTTTCTATCCTCTAAAGAATCAACAGATGATTCTTTTTGTGGGAATAGTATACCTACATGGATACCTATATTTCAGAATTATTTTTAAATGCTGTTAACGCGAAATAGTTATTTAAAAAAAATATAAGTTTTAAAGGAAATTTATATTTTCCGAAGTTCCGGCAGCATTTTGAAAAAGCGGCAAGAATAGTGTTCAGAGTGCCTGTTAAAATAATATAAATAATATTTACTAAAATTTAAATTTTTTGAGTTATATGGTAATCACTTTTGTTTCTAAGTTTATACTAAAACTAAGAACTTTGAAGGAAGTTTTCTCCAAAACCACGTAAAATTGGCACACGAGATTTTTCATCCCCAGTTTGGATTTTTAAAACGTATCACTTGCTACGGACAACTTGGGAAAGGTGGCCAGCAGCGGATGGATGCGGGCGACAGAGGACCGGTAGAGTTTGCGTGCTCAAGGAGAGGCTTATGTCCAGCAGTGGATACGTGTAAGCAAATGATGATGATGCTGATCAATTGCTAATCACTTGAAATATTTGTCTGACAGGATGTTTGAACTCTATGCAATGGGCTATTCTTGGTAACAGAATGTTAAGAAGAAAATTTTGAAACGTTTTGCCCGAGAAGAATAGGGCTGCGAGTGGTGTCTTTATAAAAGCGTTTTTGTGAACTAAACCAGCAACGACTCTGACGGTAGATCTGTTTGGAAAGTAGTTACCATCCCAGGTAGATGTTTGCGCCAATATTACAAATATGTCACCCGACATAACAATTTGGCTGAGCATAAGATGGCGTTGTCACTCCAATCATAATCCGGAATAGAATTGCAATTTTGAAGTAGACATATATACGACTGTGGTACCTAAGGTAAGAAAGAAGTAGGTAATTAATTCCAGATGGGTATATGTAAAGGAATGACTTAAAAATCTGAAGAGAAACAGCTTATCATGGATAGATACAGATTGGAAAGGAAATGAAGATACTAGAATTAAAATATTGCAAATGCTGAGGTGCAAGGTTCCCTTGGACGATCAGATTAATTTCTCTTCTGCATGACTAAACCTCTATAGGGGTAGTAGAAGTATAAGTAGTGGTTCCTGTATTATGTCCCACTTCGCTTCGCGTCTTCAAGCCTTGACGTTCTAAAATTGAGCCTGAATTAATTTTAGAATTCAAATTTTGGACATCAGATAACAATTTTGTCAAATCTTTAACGTTCATGGCATCCTTTGGCATTTGTTTTCTTGTATTAATATGTTGAAGAGGTAAAATTTTAAGTGTTTGAAGAGGTAGTCCTTCATTTTGGGTGTTCAAACCTTGAACAGAATAGTCAGTGCCATTAACAATCGTAGCACTCATAAATGTTCCGTTTGTTGAAACTAATTGGGCGATTTGTTCCTTGGACCCGAACATTAATTCCGGAGACACTTCTACTTCCGAATTTAATGCCAATTGCTTGTGTAATTCCTGTGTACCTGATTGGTGTGCTGATTTCTGTTGCAAAATGTTCTTCAGTGACATAAATGGTATTTTGTATTTCACGTAAGAGTAGTTAATCGGCATTTTTTGGTGAAGCAGATATATCAATTCAATAATGCTCGTTTTTGAAGGTACGTTGTTCAATTCCTTCAGATTCGGTACGCCAGAAATCTGATTGAGATTTGATGTTTTGCCATAAACCGTGAAATTTCGAACTTCACGTTGACTTTGATTTAAGATGTTATTTATTCGAGATTGCGTAGGTTGATTGATTTGATTCTGTGATAAAGCAATTTGATTACTAAATCCTGGAGGTAAATTTTGATTACGATAGCCTTGGTTTATTTTTGGTAATGTGAAAGCTGGTAAAACGACTGGTAATGTCTTAAAATTATTGGGGCTTAGACTGGAAACAGTATTAAGTGGTTGGTTTATAGTGGGATTTTGAAATGTGATTGGAATTACAGATTCGCTTGGAGTTTTCTGTATATACGGGTTAAAGGTTCCAATGGGTAAATTTGGCATTAAGCTGTAGGGCATTTTCTGCTGAGCCAAAGAATTTACTTGATAATTATAACTAGACATTGATGCAAACTGTTGAACTGGATTAATTTGTGGAGTAATATTGCTATATGCTGGCTGACTTTGAATTGGACGGTTTAGAATTCGATTTGGAACTGGTTTGAGATTGTTGAAACGTTGAACTATGTCATCTGGCATAGTGGGGTATATATTTGCCAATACGTTGTCGTTAAGCAAAGCCCTAGTGAATTCTGCTTTGTCTTGGTTTGTTTTTGGATCATGTGTTGGAGTCTTTAAAGCTTTAGTTAACTTCATAGCCTGCAGAAGCTTGTGTAAAACACCGTTTTGAAGACGTGGGCTTTGATTTGGCAACTTGTTTGTTGGATATGGATTTTTATCAATTGTTGAAGACGCTTCTCCATATTCTGGTGAAATAAATGCAGGCACATTGTATTTGTATGTAGGTTCAGCGAAATTCATAGGTTTCTCTTGGTATTGTTGTTGACTTAGAATTTTAGGATACTGCACCTTTTCCAAGGGCACGAAATTATACGTTATGTTGGGCAACAATCGATTTTTTTGTAAGTCAGATTGCTGGGTGCTGTATCGGTTTAGAGTAAATCTTACGGGGTTTGGAAAAGTCTGACCTTGCACAGATACCTGTTCAGGAGAACCTTCCAGATAATCACTGTCAGGTATCTGAGGAGTAACCGAAGCATTCGGTTGATTTGGACTCGCCATTGAATTTTGTGATAGTATAGTGGAGTAAAAATTGAATTGGCTCGTGCTTACAGTTGGGTTAGATATTGGATTATTCGTAAGAAAATGTTGTTCATGGGCATATCCGACATGAAGACCATTGTTATTATCTGGTCTGTAATTTTCAAGTACCGATGGTCCCAAATTGCTTGGATTTGCCTGTTGATTCTGTAAGTATTGTATTAAGTTTTCACTTGGTACTTGCAGAATTGGTTTGATTGGATGAAAATTGACACTGTGTTCATAATACGACATGGGTGCATAGTTGTTTCTGTAACTTTCACATGTATTCATATCGTATACATGACTGTATGCATTCTGCGCCGTATTTACAAGTTTTGAAAATGCGTCTTTGCAACTTCGTTGGTTTATACTTGGTATGTAATATTGTAGCGGTTTAGTTTGTGATTGACTTAAAGTATTAATCGTTGATGGCATTAATTGACCAGTTTCAGGAAATACCTTAGCATTGCTTAGCTGTGTTTGCAGATTTGAAAATGATTTGAAAATAACTGGATGTTTTACAATCGAAGACTGTTCAATGTATTTTTTTATTAAATCCAGCACGCTATTCACGACATGCACATTTAAAGGTTCATTGTTATTAAGATTCGCTTTCAATATTCCCAATAGTTCAGTCAAAATCTTCAAAAGCGTTTTAGAAGTTCTGCAAGGTATGATTGTTGCTCTGTCATCGAGTCTTGGAAAAACGTTCAAGGTCTGGAAGTCAAATCGAAATTTTAATGGTCATACATGCGAGGTGCCTAATTAGCAACTTAATTGTTTTCGTGTTATAGAACCAAGTAACGTGAAACTCACTTCTTGTTGATTTACAACGCTTGCTAACGGTTGTGCATATGCATATGCATTTGGTACAGACGCAAACGTGTACGGCTGAAAAAGAGACAAGGCCTTTATAAATATTATGTCAGAATGATAAGAGTGCTGCTGCAAAAATATGATGGTGCTATTGGAGAAAGTGCTCAAAAATAGCAAAGATGTTTTTTAAAAATAGATATGTTAAATTAATAGTGCAAGGCATTGGTCTTTGCCGACTCCGATGGAAAACGGGAGTGAAGTGTCTGTGTACATAATTTGACCTGTATTACATAGAAAAAATCATTGCTCGACAGAAAACAAAAGGATTATCGAACAGACATTACAAGAACCTTCCGGAATACAATTATCTTGTCGAACTACAATATTGTGGACATAACATCATTGATTGTGGAGCTTTCCCCAAATTCTGAAGAAGATGGTCCACAAAAAATTTAAAACAGAGTTTTGATTGTTGTTATGAATGAATGTCAAGTTAAAGAGATGAACTTTCTAATCTCCGCAGTTTTTAAGCAATGGTATTTTATCACTTTTGAGATAAAACAAAGAAAAAAAAATTGTACTTACCAATACATCGGAGTAAACAGCCTGCATTAAACAGCAGCTAAGAATGAACTCGAACATTTCTCAATTTCAGCTTCAATACTGAATCATATTGTCAAATTAAATGACTTTCAACCGCTGCATTTGCAGCTTGTAGCATTTAAGTATACCGTGAAATTAGTTTACGCGTCAGTGACTATTTTCAATATATCTTGTGCCAAAACATTACGTTGAATTGTTGTAATGATAAAGTAAAAATAATCTTTTTTGACTGAAATGAAATACATGGGCGAAATTTATTTATATTTATCGATTTGGTGCGGAATTTTGAAAATATCGTGGACGAATAGTGTCCAATGAAAGAGTATGCAGATGGTAAGTAAGAAATTAGAGGTCTGTCTGTAATGCGTAATGATAAAAACGACCTATATGCACGGAAAAATCCAGGGAACGTACTTCGTAGCTTAAGAATCTCCGGATATGGTTCACCCTGAGCACAAGATCCTTGTTCCGTGCAGCTGTGTCTAAAATACAGATAGCCCTAATGATAGCCGACCTCCGGTAGGAGATGGCACCTCAAGAAGAAGATCGATTTGGTTCAAACTCGACTGTTGTGATGTTCTCTTATTGGACACTGGTGAATAATGGCAACAAATACTTTTCAAGCAATTGCCGTGAAATAAAATTAGAAGTGTAAATTGTCCATTGTCTCAAGCAGAACAAATCATAAATTGTGTTGATTGTGAGCTCTGTACCTAATTTCCAACAATTCTTTCAAACAAATGAATTTGGTAGCTGTAGAGTTTCTTGTGAAACAGTCCGACTAGGGAAGTGCCGCTTTACCTATTTCTGCAGTAATATGAGCATTACAGCGTTTTGAAACTGAAGGGTATATAAGGTTGCTGGTTAAATTTGAGGCACGTGGGCCTTGTTAACTTATGTCTCACGGTGACGGGTACAGTCGCAGTAACCCTCAGATCTTTGCGATTTTAAAGCTCTGAGTGGCACTCCAACTGTCATGGATAGGCATGTCGCTTACCACCAGGCGCACGACTTGTTCGTTCTGTCTCGTCAGTTGATATTAAAAAAATAAAAGGAAATAGTTCCAATGTCTTAACGTAGTGCATATTGTGATATAATTAAGCCTACTTAATTTATTGATCATGTTTTTACTACCATAGCATAAGCTCCTATAATTCTTTAAATTTAACTTTATCAAGAAAAAATCTATGTTGTATGCTTTCTTTAAATAGGAATACCCTGTTTGAAATTAAAATATAAAACTAAAAATTGAGCCATTAATCATAATGTAATAGTGATAGAAATTTCATAGAAAGAAAAAGACTGTTTAATTAAACTTAAACAACAATTTATTATTAAAAGGTGTGAATTCAATATAAAATAACTCCTCCCCTGGCTCGAATACATGCGAAGATCCTCCTGGGCATGCTGAGGATCAAGTTATCCAGCATTTCCTGGGGTAACCTATCCCATTCTTCAATAGCGGCTTCCCTGAGCTCTGGAACTGTCTGGGGACGTGGCTCACGGTTCCATACTGCTCGTTTAAGAGCATCCCACGCGTGCTCTATTGGGTTTAAGTCGGGCGAGCCGGCAGGCCAGTCTAATCGTGTGATATCGTATTCTTGAAGAGCAGCATTGACTCGTTGAGCTCGATGTGCGGGCGCATTATCATCGACCAGTACAAATTGGTGCCCATGGTTTACTCGGAATGGTCTGACGATATCATCAATAGCAACTGCTTTGTACATGTCTGCTGTCATGAAGCCCCGATACGGGATCAAAGGCGTTCTAGCTCCAATCATAATGCCACCCCAAAAGGACACCGATTTTCCGCCTTGCTGAACTGTTCCAGTGGCAGTTCTCTGTCTTTCACGGTCGCCTGGTCTTCTCCAGACACGGACACGTCGGTTATCTGGATGAGTGCTGATTCGGGATTCGTCAACGAAGAGACAGTTTTGCCAAATGTTTTCGTCCTCACCTTCTTCATTTTGCCGAAGTCTAGCCCACTGCAATCTTCGTTGTTGACGTTGCCGGGACTTGAGCGGAGCTCGCCAAGACCTCCGTGCTCGTAATCCAGCCTGGTGCAAGCAATTGCGAACGGTCTACGTGCTAACTTCAAGCCCAGAGGCGGCCCTGACTTCTGCTTTTATTTTAGTGGCGTTGATTGTTGGATCACGGGCTGCCAGCAATCTAATATAGCGCTTTTGGGCAGCTGTCAAAACAGTTGGGCGACCGCTGCGGGGTCGGTCAGCTAAATTCCCCATTCCGTGATACCTCTGCAACGTAGCCACGACACAGGATTGGGATATAGCAAGTCTGCGTGCTATTACTCTCGTGGTGTATCCTTCTTCCCTCAAAGTTACTATTCTAGCTCGTAAAACCTCTGATAATCCTCTTGGCATTTTTTCAATCACAACTTTCCGCGAAAAATATCTTGAATCGTTTATAATTGACTAAATCAGATTTCTGAATGAGCGTAAGCTAGGACTGAAAGCCTTTTTATATGAAAAAACAATTGAACGGGGTCATTGTTTTATGTTCTAATTTATTTTTAAATAAAGAATCTAAAAAGAAGAAAAAATCATAATATAATTTACAGTAACAAAAAAGATTTCAGTTTTTCGAAGTGATCGCAAACTTTTTTTGATGTGTGTATATATTTTTTGCGAAAATACTTGACTAATTTGTAGTTTCTTATGTAGTTCACTTTTTATGAATACGTATTATTCATCTGTTTTCTTTTTTGTAAAATAACTTTACTAGTTGTTATAATTATTAAATACAAAGATCGCACACAAAATGCATTACTAACTAATGTACAGGTCGAGTTTACTAAAGGTGCCTACAGATTTGCTCGACATTGTCGATCGATATGTAACATCGATATGATGCAGCTTTACAAGTACACATGCGGCAAAATTTTTGTCTCAAAACACATGTCGATCGGCCATGTCGACCAAATCTGTAGGCACCCGATCGTCATTGTCTATCTATGTAATAATAATAATACCTCTTTATTTCGGACCATTAAAAATATCCATAGTATATTAGTATGAGAATCTAAAAACTAGGTTAATGTAATACAATGCAGACTTAATTTATTATTACACTATAAATTGGGCTACACCCTTAATTTGCTCTATCCAGAGTTTTACAGTTAGACAGTCCAAACTTCCCGCTATTGCACTTAGAATGTTGTCGATGATATTGTCGATCGATATGAACGATCAAATCTGTAGGCACCTTAAGTCGACGAATTGCTTCTACGTGTGCGTTATAGTTATATAAATATTGTACTTACCATATTTAAAGAAATAAATGAATTGAAATGAACAGATCTTGCATTGAGTTTCCGACTTTCGACACTGTAGCGACAGAGAAGGTCGAGTTTGTTTGAAAAAATCTCATAAATCATAAAATCTCTCACTATGATGTAAATTTTGTTCAAAAACGTGTAAAAACACGGGAGTTCTCATCCTGTGTTTGGATTTTTAAAACATATCGTTTGCTAAGCTTCACTCGAAATGTATACACTCTGACTGGATTTTTCGATACCGTGCAATGATATTGGTACAGTTACATTGCGTAGCCACATTTGTCCATGCAGTGAATTATACATATCGCGTCACTATTCGACAATTCGAGCTCGCACCTCTGAATTTTCGGAATGTACGTGTGAACATCGAGTATATAACCAGAAATAGAGACGAAATAAGGACCATCCATCCCTGGCAACTCATCAGGTAAATGGGCCTTGCATATCACTTTTAAATACCAACTCTTGTTTGCGCTGAAATCACAAATTAGAAAACTGAAATAGTACATCACACTCATCACATCGTCGGCAATTAAATATTAAATATGTAATTTTTCTATTTTCGTCCATTATAGCAAAGCTCCAGTTAAACAGATCGATTTGAAGTGAAACAATTGACGACACTCGTCAATTGTTTCGAATTTGGGGTATTTTCAAACAAATTAAATGACATTTCGTCTCTATTTCTGGTTAAATAGGTACTCGATGCGTACGAAATTTTATTTTAAATTTACCATGAGCTTTTTAGTGAACAAAAACATCATGATGAAACCTGCAAGTCGAAGAAGGTTCACGGCTCTCGGGAGACGTGTGAGGTCCCCAATCGACATCCGGCCATCGTGGCGGATCATGGCCTAAACCCTCGCCCTGAGAGGAGATCCGTGCCCAGTATTGGGACGTATACATAAGCTGTTTATGAGCTTAGTAATACAGTTCTGGAAGATTCTTAGTGTCTTACAAAGTACCCTGTAATATTAATGATCAATCAATTAATCCAATTACTTAGTACAGAAAAAATGCTTCACACGATATTCAAATTAGTCTTATCTTTGGCTACATTTGTATGTATGTAAGGAGGTCGTCCGGGAATTCCAAAGAGAGTAGACACGCTGAACGTTCCTTATGTGATTTTAATTCATAAAAGTGGTAAAAAGTTAATGGTTTTCGCAAAAAATACACCAAAAGTTAAAGTGAACGGGACTCTACGCGTTTGTGTCATTTCACTGTTAAATTAAAACAGTATAATAGTGTTAAATCCAAAACAAAAAATCTAATTTTCGTTAAACTTTTTAAAATTTGAACTTTGATCCCATTAGTGAACAAAAGACCCGAAGGACAAAAGAATTGTGGTACTTACTATTTTCATGTCATAGTGAGCATAAATTACGGCGCCCGGACTTTGCAAATTAGTGGCGCAGCCGAAAAGCGGTGGACACTCACGCATGAGACTCGGGTTCAATTCTAATAACCCATATTCAACAAAATATAAACAATATAATTATTTTTAACTTTTATTTTCTTACGTCAAAACCGTCTATCAAATTATTGCCAAAAATAACGTGAGTAGTAAGTGGTTTATAACAGAACCAAAATTTTTTTTTTCTTAGTTCTTTATACAGACCACATAAATACTAGTAATAGACTGGTTAGTGGGCGCGGTCCGCGTTACCTAGCTTATCACCAGACGGGCATATGA